AGCCGCTGTCAGATTTGTATTGCTGTCTGTGAGCCTGGTGGGGAGTTTTGCCCTCTGTATTTGTCCTTACAACTGTTTTGGCCTGGAGGTAAAGTGAGGGAACATTCAAAATTATATGACTGTCACCATAAATATTTCAGATTGGAAAACCTCCAGTGGGGAGGATGATGGTGGCCACTGTCCAAAGTGAAGTTTCCCCTCACTTACCTGATTGGAGACCTTTTGTTGCCTTACTATGGATCTTCTCATGTCATTTCTCTGCTCTATCGCCATCTGCTTTCTTCTAGATACACGTCTCATCCTTGTTTTATTGCAGAATGGGAAAGGGACCTAAATCTCACCTTGAAAGATGATGATGATGATCATGATGTACATTATATGTACTCACAAGGTATCTATTGCCAGCTTTGCCCAAGAGAAGGGATACAAGATTTTGACCCGTTGGTACAGCTGCCCAAGTTTACTGCAGAGGATTTCCCCTAACAGATCTTCATCCTGCTGGCATTGTCTTACTGAGGTTGGAACCCAGCTTCATGTTTAGTGGAGTTGCCCACATATGCTGCACTTCTGAGAGCAGATCTTTGAGATATATGGGCAGGTTGTTGGGTCTTCCCTAAATCCCTCTCCCATGATTGCTCTCCTTTCAATATGCTCTGGGTCTATCTCTAGTGCCAAGAAAGACTTACTTTGGTACTTTGTGGCAGCGGTGTGCCCCGATTCCTCTAGAACTCTCAGGTTGTTCCAACTGTATGGGAATGGGTGACTGAATCCTGTTCTATAAGGAAAATGGAGGAGTTGATGGCCCAAGTTCACAGTCAACAGTCACAATGTGCCTATTTGTGTCGAGCCTTATAAAGCGAATTGGTCCTTGACTTGGTTTACCCAACTAATCCATTGGAAAATTTGACAACTATGACATTTTGGATTTCCTATCACTTTTAGTCCCAGTGAAAATGGTCATCAGGACAAATCGAGAGGGTAAATTTACTTTGTGGAGACATCAATAAAAACATGGGTTCTACTGTAATCCTTCCCCATTCTATCCAAAGCTAAAATTAACTTCTTAAAAAAACTTGCACTTTAACTAAACTATAGCCCAGCATTACTTCCCTTATTTAAGTTACAGGAGAATAGATTACATTGTAAATGTCTCCTTAAGAAATCTATAAGGAAAGCCCCATAATGTAAAAATTATAATAAGAGACATGAATACCTAAGCAGGAACATTTATGAAAATAACAGTTACAATGGACATCTAATTCAGGTAGCAGTTCTACACAGCATGGGGACTTGCAGGAACCTTTTAAACCTGTTAAATATTAGATTGCACGAGGAAGGTAATATTGAATCTGTACACTACCTTGTGAAAGATAGGGGCCGATATTTACAACTTAGGGCTCATTCACACCATAAGCAGTGACTGGCATTTTTCTGCAGCTGAACAATACCAGTCACCACTACGGCACATAGAAAACAACTGTTTTCTATATGCCCAGTTCACGCCACAATGTGGGTGTTATGAGTTATCGTGGTGTTATGTGGGTGGCTGTGAATAAGTTCATTTTTTTCATATTTTGTGAAAAGGTGAACTTATACTTTTAAGTCCATATAAAAAATGCCCCTTGCAATGAGAAGGTTAATTAACCTTGAAACAGGGAATTGGGAAAGCACAACTGTGAGTGTTACTAGTTCTAAGGCTGGATGTCAAACTGAAAAATGAATCAAACAGTTGTTGTCCAGTTAACTGATGCATACCGACACCGCTAAACTTGATCTGGGCAACTATGCTTCAAAACTGTCTGGTCATGAAAGGGATAAACACTAATGCAGTAGAGCCACTAGATGGTGCTAAGAATCAAACAAATGGACTAATGAGCTCTTTTCATGTTCTCCAAGCCAGTCATATAGAGAATACACCAGTAGGAATTGTACAAAAAAAGTAAAGGTTAAAAGTAACCTACTGTACCTTTTATGAGATAAACACAGGGGCTTACATTGCTGACCACATTCTAAAAATGCTAGCTGTCTGGCAATTATGTTTACAGTGGAACAATGGGCAAAATATAACAATTACATGAATGATGTGTGTTCTGGTAGATCATAGACTGAATAATAGCATGCAATGTTAAGCTGCAGTTTCTAAAGCAAGCAAAATACTTTCTTGTATTACACGGGGTATAGACTCCAGAGATAGAGACATAATCCTGCCCCTGTATAAAGCATTATTAAGACCTCATCTGGAACATGCAGTTCAGTTTTGGGCCCTGGTTCACACAAAGCATGTTGTGGAACTGGAGAAAGTGCAGAGAAGCGCGACTAAACTCATAAGAGGCATGGAGGAGCTCAGCTATGAGGAAATATTAACTGACCTGAGTTTGTTCTCTCTGGAGAAGAGGCGATTAAGGGAGGACATGATCACCATGTATAAATACATAAATGGTCCATATAGTGAGCTTGGTGCCAAATTATTCACGTTAAGGTCACTGCAAAGAACAAGAGCCACTCTTTGCGTCTGGAGGAAAAGAGGTTTAACCTTTGCATACAGAAAGGATTCTTCACAGTTAGAACTGTGAAAATGTGGAATAGTTCTAGCTAGATTAGTTAATCTTATAATCTTATCTCAATTTTTACAGGGAAGGGTAAAGTCTTTCCCCCTTCCACAATTCCTTAGTAGAGACAGAGGCAAGCTATCACTTGAAGAACCAAAAAACTTAAAATTGTATCATACTTACCAGTAATTTTCCTTTCGTGGTCCCTGTCCATGGCAGCATACAAACGATAAGCTCCGCCCCTTATCCCCACCCACAAGACCAGTAACAATCTATAAAAAAGAGAGATAGAGACTACACGGAGGATACCCAGGATATGATCCTAACACCATTTGCCATCAGCAACCAATCTTTGGAGGAAACAAGATATGGATGCATAAAATCGGACCACTGGACCTCAAAGGAAGGAAATAGTCTTTAAACCGCCCGGACTACAAGGAAACTTCAGTAAACGTGAGTGACGAAAAATCCGTTAAGGACACTGTTTGAATACTATACTGAAGTGAAGCCTTGTACCTTTCGCACTCAAAATCCAACACTAATTGAGAGAAAGAAGGTCAAAGTCAGGCGTGACATATAAGATGATCCAGTAGTAGTCTGTCCATGGGAAAACATCCCCACCCTCCCACCTCGGTTTGAACAGACAATCTGATTACATCTCGGTGTCTCTACCACGATATCCCGAGGCGAAGGAGAAAGTGAGGGTTAAGTGTACACACGGCCAAATACAAGCCAACACTAACCCAAGGAAAAGTTTAACCCCACAGGGAAACACCCACCAAAGGAATCCCTAAAGAAAAAGCAAATTGATAGAGGGAAAGGATTTGTAAACATCTGAGGACATTTTTCACTAAATCAATAAATAACATTCAGGATCTACTTCATCCATAATTATCAATGGTCAAAGCACAGCATATAATTTGATGCTGTATGAAACCTAGGCTATCATTGTATATTTATTTGACACCTCTATAACTTGTAAACATATAATTCACCAGAATACTTTCCCTTTGATTGTTTATACCCTGGAATACAGCTTCACCTAGATAGGCCGCGTTCATCAATACACGCAGGGGAAATTTCACGGAGAGATAGGTGGTAACGTGGGTAGCTCACTGGCCACTTACCTCTCACGGTGGAATGAATGATAGAAGTGCATGAGGATCGATCCACATTTAATTTAACAGTGTCTGCAATTTTAATAGGTTTTAATGGTGGTATTGTCAGTAAATGTGTTATCTTGTATGTTTCTTTTTCAATAAAAATAATTTTTTCACGCAACCAACTGACTTGTCCGGATCCTGAAATTGACCACTATTAACTCGCCATCTTGTGACGAGTTAACCTCCCCTTTTTTTCTTCTGCACAAATACGGTCAGGGATAGGACTACACAAGCAGTTGAGTAAATATTAGGAGGGGAATTAGAATTCATCGGATCTCCAGGTAGGAACAATACCCAATTTGTTTCAGAGATAGAGACTCCCCCTTCATTCTTGTAACCATGCGTCGACAAACAGGGTGGGTAGTATGCTGCCATGGACAGGCACCAGTAAAGGGAAATTACTGGTAAGTGTGATACAATTTTCAGTTTTCCTGGTGCCTTTCATGGCAGCATACAAACGATAAATAACAAGCTGACAGGGTTGGCAAAAGCGACGACAAAGAAGACACTCCATCCAGCAAAAGACGTCTGGACAGACCGTCTCCTGTTATTCCGCATAAAACATGTAACAGTCTCACTGATAAGATTATTTAAGAGGGTGTGTTTAGGAGTGGAGTTAAGGCCGGGGCAGGGTAGGGGTTAGGTGGGCAACTGGTGGCGAGTAACTCTTAAGGCCTGGCTAGTTGCTACGGACTTGAAATTTTGACCCCTGTTCTAATATATGACTAAAACCAGGGGCGTCCCGAGGCTGGGTGACACCCGGAGCGGTGTCCGAGAGTCACATCTCATGCTTGATTTATTACCTTAGTTCTGCTGACCCAAGTATTAGATGTTTCTTTATTGAGTAATAGTTTTGACTGTGGAAGGAAAGCGCAATTTATAATTAGTCTTTGAGATGTAGTGTTGTTTCTAGCCTTAGGAGCACAATCATTTTAATGATACTTAGTGGCTTGATAAAAACAGACCAGTATTTGAATGCAAAAGGATCTCTGAACATCATTGTTGATCACAAACATCTTTTCATGGCAGTATCTATTTATTAAGTATTTTCCCTGAAAGTGAAACCTGAGGGTACATTCTATGAGACTAAACCTATGAAAAGGAATGCTAAAAAATGGTGGTCTCTCCAAACAGTAATGTATGGTATGAAATGCCATGATTTAGCATTGCATGCATAGTCCAGATACAACATTTTCCATGCCCATTTAAGTTTCATTAGTCAAATAATGGATTCCAAATAAACTCCAAAATCAACTCCAAATAACATTTTCATTTTTTTTAACCTTTTTTATTTTCTTTTTGTTAAACAAAGAGTTGTAAATGAGAAATGTTCAGAGTAGGGATAAAGCGTGGGAAGGGGATAGCACTGTCACAGGGCAGAGTCTGTAAATTTCAGGTAATTGTTCCAGTTGGGCGACATCTCCACACAGAACAATATCTTACTGTATCCTGGAGAGCCTGATCAGTGCAAGACCCTCATCTCCACATTAAAGAGGGTCACAGAGGATGCCCAATCTCCTTCATGTGAAGCAAGAAACAGACCAACATTTGCCCCATGATCTTGGTCCTAGAGAGGACAAATTGTTCCCCTCTGTAGCAGCTATAATCCTGAGGTTAAAATCCCTCATCCGCTGTACACCTGGGTCCCAATGACTCTCATGATCTCCTTTTGGATCTTGGGGTCCTGAGTGTTAATGTTGGCATCCCCCACTTGGCCATCTTCATACCTTTAATGAGAGAGGCATTTTTAGAATTAGAACAGTAACTTGACTACAGCACAGATGGTAATCATATATTACACAAGCCAGTTTGCATGTTCAAGCTTATTCAGTAGAACAGTGCAAGGGGTAATGATAATGTGTAAAGAACAGGAGCCTGTAACAGCCAATCAGAACTTATATTTTAAACCATCTGGCAACACTCATCTGAAAGCTGACTGGATAGCGTGGAATACAGAAAAAATGCAAACCTGAATTTTGGTCTTTCTAATGAGTAAAATGCTTAGATCAGAATATTCCCTGCTGAGTGCAAATGATGAGCAGTTAAACCAGGGACATGTGGTCTGGGAGGCAGAGCCTCACCTGCCATTATGGAATAAAAACCTGTCAGCTTCAAGTCTGACGCTGACAGCTTTTTCTCCATTCAGACCGGCTTCTAACAAGGTTCACAGAGGGGAAAGCCTCCCCGCTGTGTAACCTGTTGTGGATGAAGCGACGCCTGTTAATTACAGGCAGCAATTCATCTGGCTTTTGACAGCTATGTTAGGTTACACAGCAGTGTGCTTCCCCGCTGCTGTGTGTAACCTAACATAGTGAGGTAGAGCTACAACAAGCCTCTGACTTGGAGTCAAAAACTTGAGCTCTAACTTGGTTTGCACCAATGGCAAAGCGTCATTGGTCCAAGCCATCCAATCCAAAAAAGAAAAAAAAAACACTGATGGTATCCATCTAGATGCTTCATCAGTGACAAGCAAAGGAGGAACAAAGAGGTTCATTCCTGTCTCCCTGTCTCCTCCCTCCCTCCTATCACAGTCACAGGCAGAGAGGTTTCACTCCTACCTCACTGCAGATGAACACATAGCTCAGTGACCAGGCCTGGGGGGCGGTCCGGGGGGTGCCTCACCTGCCACACTGACCTCACCGCACATCCCTGAGTTAAACCCCTTATGCCATATTGACATTACTTTTTACATTTAAAGGGAGAGTTTAAGAACTGTACAAACTTGGGAATTATTAGCTGTACATAGAATAACATTATTGCAGGCAAGTCTTTTAAAGAATATATATTTACATCTCAGTCGACAGATCACAATCAAAAGTTTTACTGTCGAGAACATGGCCAAATCCTTTCAGATATTCTGTGAGCAAATATGTGCATTAGACGTGATGACAGCATGGGGAAAATAAACTGAAGGGACCTGTCTAGCAGCTAGGTGGGATCTAGGATCAGGTGAGTATATATTTTTTTATCTGAGCCCCTAGAAAAACAACAAGCAGTTAACGCTTACAGTGCCAGGGTAGCCCCACTGCAAGGATTAACATTTTACATTCCTGGAGTTCCTCTTTAAATTAGCACGACCTCTACTACATTTTATTCCACCCTATTGGTCAGTGATGCCATCCATCAGGCTTAGAAGACGATAGTGAACCATAAGATTGTGCACTGGCAAGGAACACTTAAATCAAAACGAAATGTTTCCAGAACTTGCAACATTTGTCAGGACTGGATGATGATCTCCATGTACATATGTTGGAAACGTGTCAGGAGAAAAGTCTAGTCTTAGCGTGCCCCTAAAACAAAGGCAGATGTATGCTGTGCACAAGAACATGGCTCTAAAAACAATCACAAACAATCGTTCCTGACGATGACATAACAGCCAAGAAAGGTGTTGAGCATTCTGGCACCCTATCCTAATGCATCGCTGGCTGAACCCAGCAATAGCAAAGCACCACCTCCCTTTTGCTGGACAGGTCCTATGTAACATTTTTCTATATTCAGTTGTACATATTGTTCCACAGATATCAGGTTATCTTTTGACTCTGATGCAGTATTACAATTTGACATTTTAGTGCTTTTATATACCATCCCTACATGTTTCGGCACTACAGTGACTTCAAAGTGACAGATGCATTATGCAGAGATTTCATAACAAATCCCATGTAATGGCTGCTGCCTGTTTGCTCCAGTTCTATTTATATCCACTGAGTATCACTATGATACTTAGAGGATATAAAACTCCTGTAACAAGAAATCACCTTGGCGGCTAAAGGGGTTCGGCTAACGAGGCAGCCAGGTGCACAATATGAGTTCCAGGATGAAATTAATGTAATTGAAAGTTTAAGCTGTGTCTCCTGAGTACGTTTAAATGCAAAATGGTCATGTTTGACTAGAATACAGTTTAACCAGTCCCCAAATCATCCTTTTATAGACGATTTTGGCTCAGGAACTTCACAGGGATGTTAATATACAACTCTGCTACCCACCCAATATAATAGGATGTCAGTAAAGTTGTCAACTTGCTTATTATGGATTGACACATTCGAATTATACATGTTTTGCGGCTAAATAAATGCAAAAAGGCAATAACTAAATCCAAGAAGCCTGTATAATGCCATATGTAAGATATGTCACTTGAAGTACTAAAATTCTCAGAAAGGCCACATGCATCACAACATGAATATATAATATTGTACATGGTATAGAAAGAGCTACTTACACAAAGAAAAAGCGTGTACAGACATGGTCAGACACTGGGCACACCCAAATATTCCCATGTTTCTGCAAATCCTTTGATGTTATTACTGTGAAGAAGCATATTAATTTTATGATCAGGATATATCAAGAAACTCAGTAACATCAAAAAGAATGTTTGACTAGTCAGGCTGTGCTGAACCTCAGAAAAGTCATTTAGAAATATGACAAAGAGACAGACATACAGACAATAAGAACAAAAGGTGCAAGCATTTTTACAAGCTTTCACTTCCATATTTGTTACTGTATTAAAGAGACGCTGTTATGATATTTGTATCCTAATGACAGTATCGCTTTAAAATACATGTATTACACTTATACTACTCTCTTCCAGAGTCACAGGCTCTGTTAGAATCTTTAGCACCGCCATTTCATGGTACATTGGATGGCTCCTTATCCTTGCTGCCCACTGTGCTTTCACCTGCTGCTATGTCATTAATGTACCTCTGCAGCTCAGCAGGGACACTCTAGTGAAGTAGTGGCTGGGAGAGGGCACCGTCGTCCAAGAGGGAAACGCAGGTATTTTGAAGGTTTTGTATGTAGCTTTTATGATTATTGGACCGTAGAGGGAAGCATCCATGGGAAACCTTCTAGTTCATCTTCCTAATCAGTCTGTTGATCTGGTCTTCTCTGTTTCCTGCATCACCACCTTCCACAAAGCGTATAGTTTTCTTCTTCATTTCACCTCTAGGAGAGGACAGTTTAAAGGGCCAGAGGAAATTGTTTGCTGCCTTGAAGTTTTTTTTCAACAGTGTAGATCTTGTGGCTCAGATCTTCAAAGCAAATTATGCCATTTCTCACCAGATATTTCTCAGAGAGTTGTCAGTAGGAGGGATGCGTGCTTTCCTGACCTTTAGGTATCCACGCTTGTAGATAAACTGCTTCATAGACTTTAGAATAGGGTAACCGCAAGCGATGTTAACCAGTCTCAGCATGTTGATAGAAGCCTTGTTCAGCTTGACAAAGGTGCCGTTGAAGATCTGGCGTAGACGGAGGAGCTGAAAAACCATGTGAACCTTTGGACTAGCCCCACTAATACCTCGGATTCTGATGACGAATGCCAGCTTGGGTTCAGCAGGTACATAATAGTTTCTAGCTTTGTGGGCCATTCTAATCAGACGCACTTCACGTCAGTACAACTGTCTGTATTCTTTCTAGTAGGCCTCGGCTCTCTTATAAATTATCTTCCTTTTTTCTTTGCAAACTTCTTTTCAGCCAGGATTTTCTTGATCCTTCTGACCTTGGCAGCCGCAAAGACTTTTCCCCTTTTCAAAAGGCGTTTTGTAAATGATGGCAGCTTTTTCTCCTCTGTTCCCACCATGTTCACCACCGAAAAAGAGCAGATGCAGGCATTTGACACAGCTGGAAGTTGATTACTAGTGGAGCCTATAACTCTGGAAGAGAGTGAAGCAAAGGTGGGTAATGATAAGTATGAAGGTGCCCATACACCTTACGACCATCGCAAGACTTTTGTCTTGCGATGGTCGTATGCCTCTTGAAAGCCCGTACGATCTGCCCACCTTGGACGGGCAGATCGTACTTGCGATCATCGAAAGCCCGCCCCGCTGAGGGGCGGGCTTCCGATGACGGCAATGCAGAACTGGCAGTGTGCGCACACCGGCCCGTTCCGCAGCTATCGGACGAGCAGGATAGAAACCCGCCGAGAATCGTACAATTCTCAGCGGGTTTTCGAACATGTTGGCTCGACAAAAGACGTGCGACCGTACAGTAGAAACGGTCGCACGTCTTAGTTCACACTGCTCGATTCTCGTACGATCGCGGGATTTCGCCTGATTCTCGTACGAGAATCGAGCAGTGTATGGGCACCTTTAGTTCACACTGCTCGATTCTCGTACGATCGCGGGATTTCGCCCGATTCTCGTCCAGTGTATGGGCACCTTGACACATGAAGAGATGAGATGAGCTCGGTCCGAACCTGAGCTCCATGAAACCCGGAAGGAACTCCTCTCGAGCCTGGAAGGAAGCTCCATGACGCCTAATCAGCTGCTGGCGTGGAATTCCCCACCCCCAGCTTGATATGAGCAAAGGGATGGGATGCAGTGACATCATCGACCTAATATGGCTTCATGCCTATATTTTGTAATGACTATGTGCCCATATTAGGTAAATGATCTCAGCAAAATCATCCCACCCCTTTGTTTACATGCAGCTGCGGGTGGGGAGTGCCCGGTCTAAAGCTGATGCCCGTGTCACTTCCTTGTTTTGAGGAGCTCAGGATCGGACCGGGTTCAGTCCATACCTGAGCTCATCCCTAAACACATGTGTTGTAAATTAACAGTGGGGCTGATTTTTGAAAGCAAATAGGCCCTTCAGTTTGCAGGAGAATTTGTACTTTGCAGGGGGAGTTTCCCCTTAGTTTAGTGAATGAGTTGTTCTGATGATTTCCATCTTATGTAAGCAAAAATACCTTTTTTCATTTTCCTTGCACATGATTGGGTATTCTTTGCAAAGTGAACTTTCACCTCATTCACCAAGCTAAAGAAAACTTCTCCTGCAATGTGCAAATTCCCTTGAAATGTGAACAATCTATTTGCCTTTAGTAAATCAACTACAATGTCTTTTTAAACCACTTCATGATTGAAATACTCTTTTTACATCCTCAAGCACAATGCCCTGTGCCTTGAGAATGTTAAACTCCAGGAAAAAGTTTTCTTTTATTTTTTTTATTTATAAATTCTTTTTTATTAAAGTTTTGGAAAAAGTTGTATTAACCCTTGCAGTGGGGCTACTCCTGCACTGCAAGGGTTAACTGCTAATTTTTGTCTAGGTTAAAAAAAAAAGTTATATTCACCTGATGCTCTGAGCCAGCTTTTTCTCAAACCGGTCCCTGGAATGTCTCTCCCCCTCCTCAGTGGTCTAAGGTGTGGTAAATCATCACATATATGCACAGTGTATAGATGTGAGGACGCTGAGGAAAATTCCAATGCTGCAGCAGAAGACGAGGCAGGCTGGAGGGAGAGATGTGACAGCTAGCAGGCTTGAATCTTTGGGTGAGTATAACTTTTTTTTAGCACCTAGACAAAAACAAGTACTTAACCCTTGCAGTGCGGGGGTAGCCCCAAGGCAAGGGTTACAACAAAGTTTTCCTGGAGTTCTTCTTTAATTAGAGTGACTCTGTCATGAGAAAAGTATAGAGCTGTCATTGTTGGGCATTTTTTTGAATGATAGTTTCCTGCCTGTGTCTGGCATCTCTACTGGAGTGAAAGAGGCAAAGCAAGCATGCTCTAAATGAGTGTTGGAAACATGATAGAATTTCTTATCTCTATACTTTTGAAGGACAAAGCATTGAAGCCAAAGCATCTGCATAACAGTCAGGGAACTAGCATACTCAAAAGAAAGGTCAGCAATGACATGTCCCATAATTTTCTTGTGACAGGGTCAGTTTATCATTGCAGTAGAGAATTAGGAATGCACACCTGTATGTGTTACTAGTTCTCAGACCCTGCTGACAAACTGACAAATACGTTATCTAGTCATAGTAATGTTAACAGACACATACTGAGGCAGATACGTTTGGTCTAGATGTCTAAGGCTGCATTCAGACAGGGCACTCTGGGATTCCTGGGACAGGAATCCCAGGTGTGCTTGTTCAGATATGGCCGCCCGCTGTACCCATTGAAGTAAATTACCAGGTGACAGAGGCCGCATCTGTCAGTGGCAGCCCGCATGTAATCGTACATGGTACAATTACATGCGGTTTGGGATAGATGATTGTCCCTGGATGCATCTATCCTGCATCCTAGGACAATCTTGTATCCCAAACTGCATGTAATCGTTCCATTAATGGTTGCATGTGGACATACGCTGACAGATGTGGCCGCTGTCACCCTCTCATTAACTTGAATGGGTACAGTGGCTGCATCTAACCTGGGATTCCTGCCGCAGGAATCCGCAGGTTCTTGCTGCAGGAATCCCGAACGCAGCCTAAGTCCCTGTGTGAATGGGGCCCAAGGTTTAATGATCTCTGGTTACAAAAGGGTTAAATAAAGTAGTTTGTAGATTAGCTACTAGAAGGAGCCATCAGTGATTATTGTTGAAATCAGATATCAGTCACACAGGGAGTACTTATAGACTTACTATGCGAGAAGGAGCAGTAAAGCAAAGCCATTGTATAAACTACAAAGCTGGAAGACCCTACATACAGTATATAATAAGCAAACATGACTGTCCCCCATGTACCTTTATCATTATCTAGTTCCAAATGGAAACAAGCTTTTTAAAACATTCACATATACTGATAAGATTATTTTCATCAATCTGATCTCTTTTACATGACTATCCAAAAAAAATGAATATAGTATACATTCCTTTTAAAAATACAAACAAAACCTGAAGGTTTGCCATTTCTATCAAGAGTTGATCACTTGAAGGAGCTCAATTTTACTGTGCAGAGAGAAAGCGATTGTTCTATTCGGGATGTATCTGCAATGTAATTTTTATATGCTGTATTTAGACGTTATTGTCTGCACATGCACTATATGAACATTTTGACGTATAGCAAAGTTGCAATCCTCACTGCTGAAATCCAGCTTTTGACTCTCCCCCAGTGATTAACTAGAAAAAATACAATCCATTTAAGGGTCTCACTCATCAATAGATCTGAAATAAGAATTCTTTGAATGGTTCGGCCTCAACTAATCAACCTCATATTTTAATTGCTCAGAAGTGATTGTCCAATGCCGAGCTAAATCTGATTTTGGCTCTAAGGCAACATATGCCGTTATCATTTGAGAAACAAGACCCAATATCCCTCTTCATTTTTATATTTCTGGTTTTGGATACAGTGGGAAAGGGTTGGAACTCTTGTGAGGGTTTTACTACTGTTTGGGGCTCTTTTAAATTCACCACAGATGTTACGAGCTGATTGTACAATCTCCTTAATATCTACCAACAACTATATAGTATAAGGGCCTGCCTGACTGGATATAGATTGATTGCATAGATTAGGTAGGTCCTCATATTACAAAACACTCAAAACAAGGAATTTCATTAATTTCTATGGCCCCCTGTTGACACCTGAGTGTTTTTACCTGTCGCTGGAAAAAGTACATGAGCTACTTTTTGGCAGATTACAGCGTTTTTTGGTCTCATAGACTTCAATGGGTAATTTTGTGTGACAAAAAGCACAACAAAACGCTTAGGTGTGAACAGGGGCCATAGAAATGAATGGGATTCCTTGTCTTGTTTTGTCGTGCTCAAGACAAGCAAATGGGATTCCTTGTCCTGAGCGTTTTGTCACGCTTAACTTGGAGCGACAAAATGCCTAGGTGTAAACATGGATTAATGGAGCCCTGGATAGCAGTAAAAACTTGACAGGAGTTCTAACCCTCCCCCCACGCTATCCAAAACTGAGATAGAGTAAGTTATGCCTGGACATGCACTTTAAAGAAGAGCTTTAGGAATTAAAAAACTTACCTTTGCAGTGGGGCTACCCCTCATTTTTGTCTAGGGGGACTGAAATAAAGCAGCTATACACACCTGATCCTCGATCCTGTGGCGGTCAGTGCTCACTTCTCTGGCACTCCTCTCCGGCTATGGAAAGTCCCTTAGCATCCTCATGTCTAATGCAAGTCAATGAAACTGCACTAGACGTGATGACGTCAGTGGTACGTAGACAACAGGGGCCCGAGGGAGAAGAGGTTTGGCAGCCTGGTGGGACTTAGAAACAGGTTAGTATTTCTGTTTTACTTGACTCCACTAGACAAAACAAGCAGTTACCCTTAGCTCACTGCAAGGGTAAGTTTTTTTTTAATTTACATAGTTTAAGGTACAACAGTCATGTCAAGGGAATGACAAATAGAACCTGACTGGTAGCTTTGGACTGCCCCACTTTTCTTCAGACCTTTACCTTACTTTCTATGCATCAGCTATTTATTTCACTTAAACAAATTGTATTGGTTGATCACCTAATATTTTGTATTTGGGAAAACAAGTATGAATCAGTTAGTTTGAACACCAAGAATGCAATTAAAAAGAGCCAGTTACCTTCACACAGTGCAATACAATTGAGATTCCGACTCTGCAAAAAACGCGACTGGAGACATCGAGTCTAATAGAGAGAGAAAGTAAAAATGTAGAATGACAGGTGTACCAAACAGCTTGGCAGAGAACTGCAAGCGTACTATGTGGATACCAGTTTGTTTACCTACTGTGCCAGGCTGACAGCATAAGGGGTGGTGGTTGTTTTCTATAACATCTTTTGTTAAGAGTTAAAGGAGAACTATGAGGTGCATTTTTTCACCTGGTGATCCTGCCAGTAATGCACTTCATTCCCTAGAGTGACAATGCTCATTCACCATAGTATATCTATGCAGGAGCAGCAATGTACACTGGGCTGCTCTCCTGATTTGAACTACAAACACATCCTCCTCTTCTCAACTTCATAACATAGGGAGAAGGGGTTGAGGAGTATAGTGTAATGTGCTGAAAACATTGTTTGAGATTTCAGTTTAGTATTTCTATTATTACTATACAGGATTTATATAGCGCCAACAGTTTGTGCCGCACTATACAATATAAAGGGCGATAGTACAGTTACAACACAATTCAAGACAAGAGGGTTAACATGCCCCTGCTCGTGAGCGCTTACAATCTAAAAGGGAAGGGCAGATGATACAAAAGGTAATAACTTTGTGAGGATGACGGAGAAATATTTCAGCAGTTAGGGAAGGGGTGGGATAAAATTCCCTGAAGAGATGAGTTTTCAGGGGTCACCTTAAGGCGGACAGAGTAGAAGATAGGTAGAGAGGTTGGGGTAAGTTGTTCCTGAGGATGGGAGGGACTCTAGAGGAGTCCTGGAGGTGAGCATGGGAGGAGGTGACGAGGGAGCTAGAGAGCAGGATGTCTTGGGAGGTGCAAAGCGAATGGTTTGGGTGATACTTTGAGACAAGGTTGGTGATGTAGCTCAGGACGGAGTTGTGGATGACTTTGTATATTGTTATTAGTATCTTACATTTTATTGGTTGGGCAAGCGGAAGCCAATGGAGGGTTTGGTGGAGAGCGGTGGTGGATGCACACTATAGCAACTTACTTTCTTCAGTAAAGCTTCAGTAGTGGCCTCTATGATTAAGCGCTATTTCAGTGTGAAATGCATCAACAAAGAAGCCTGTGTCCTGAGGGATGTTGCTACTCTTGAAACAATAAGGCTTTACTAAAGAAAGTGATTTGCTATAGTGTGGCCTGCAACATTGTTTCTGCACTTTACGAGAGTGAGACATGTCTTGGCTGGGACCTAGGCACCCACAACTGGTCAACAGACAAACCATCCACACAGTCTGAAAGTGGTACCATTGCATAAAATGCCCCCAAAAATGAAAACAAATGCAGCTGCTACATCTAAGGACTGATAAGCTTCAGTGCATACATTTTTTGTTCTTGGGTTTAGATATGCTTTAAAGATGTTTACACACAAGAAATAAAGTGTAATAATTGTGCAAATATATATATATATATTTTTTAAATATGGGAACTTACAGTATGGTCATCTTACATGCATCCTCTATTGTATGTATACTAAAAATAAAGATGCAGAATAACTCTTATGATCTTAGTAGAAAAATCCTACACCATTTTGAACCCCTTATTCATACAGCTGTTATATGGCACAGCACACCTGAAACTAAAGCATATTTAAAACCTAATTATTTCATACCATCTAAAGTAAAATATCTCCATGTTTAAGTCGGTTTTCTTAGTCCTTCTATTTTTGTTAATTGTCTGAATGCATGTGAATGCATTTTCCAACACATCTAGGGAACATAGTTTTTTGTAAAGTAAAGTTTGTGCCAAGGTTTCCTTTAAAAGGTTCCGAAATTCAATATTCAGTGTTAAACTGATAATCTCATGTCCCTATGCCCTCATTAGGATACCTGAGGAATAGTGTTCATCCTATTGTATCTCTGCACCAACTCATCCTTGGATGGCATCCGATGTTGCCCCTTCCCCATACCTATTGAGATGAAGAGAAAAGAAGACATTACCACATACTGTAGATAAGGGGTTGAATATTAGTATGGTCTGAAATAGTATCAAACAATTTCCCAAAGTGCTTGTGAGGGCTACAGAGCAGATTGTATTCATAGTAAACCACATAAAATTATACCTATGTTTAACCCCTTCCTGACCAATGACGGAATTATCTCATCATAATCAATCTGTTCGTTAACGACTGTCCGGCAAGTTCTGTCCGGACACACAGCGATGGCCTCTCATGGAATGAAATACTAGGCACACATGCAAGGTCCTAACAAGAATTCATAGTATACAGACGCGGTTATTTTGACTGATTCATTCCACTGTCTGGACGAGAGTTAAAAACTTTGAAAAAAACTTTGAAACCTCTTGAACTATTTGACATTATCCTATGAGGGCATCCGCTGGCTCATCCGGGGACTGAACACCCTTAGACCTGAGGAAGCGTGGTAACACGCAAAACGCGTTGTCGTTACTCCACCAGTTCCAATCTCCTGAATCAAAAACTGCGAGACTACAAAACATTTTTTTCTTTGAGATCATGTATAAAATTCAATATGAAGCAACGCACTAATGACTGTCAATGGCTGACATTGTCAATTGACTCAACTAAGGGAATAGATTATTGTTAGGGTAATTTTTGAACCAACTCGATATAACAAATTATCTGTCTCTATGAGCCATACCTAATAGATCTAAATGAAACGGATGGTCACAAACATCTAACAATAACTCCATCTTTTGTTCCGATCTGATCACACGGAAAACATAATAAATAAAATCATTAGCTGTTTAGTCAATTAGATAATGTCAACCATACTGTAGGGGGTGCGACCTACATTTTAAATTTGTCTGTATGAATTCACCAATATATCTATGTGACTATAATTAGCCACAATTCAGGATTCTGGTGGAGCTCGTAGGTGTTCCTCTTGAGCTGTTTTTCTCTTTTATAATATGAGCTCGTCTTTTTAATCATGTATTGAATAAAAGTTATAATTTTTATATAAACTATTGTCTTGAGTGCCTAAAAAACCCCAATCTCCAAAATACCCCCTTTTTTGCAATAGTTAACGACTGGTGACGGGATAATTCTGTCATTCGGTACAATAAGCACTTGTTCGCGAAGGGAACAGCAGCTCCTTCAGTTACTGTTGTTTATGGGTCCCTCAGGGTCCGAGACGGACCCTCACCGGGAGATTAGGTGGTCACAGTTCTGTGATCACAGCGAGAGCTGATCGCTGTGATCACACAGCCGGCAGCTGCTCACTGTGTTTTGTAAACTGCTAGCCGGCTGTGTATTACAAAAGTGATACAAAGTATCTCTGAGGAGAATGCTATATTCTACTCTGAGATACTAAGTATCAAAGCCCCTGTAATTAAAAAACATAACCCTTTAGTGCCCCTAGTTTAAAAAAAATGCAATTTAAAAATGTAAAAATAATTTTGTTTTTAAAAAAGCTTGGAAAATGTAAAAAAAAGTTTAAAAAAATACTTTTAATAAAATTATAAGAAAATATAGTGCCAAGGAGGCTATTAAAGATAGGAGAAAAACATACCACATTTTAAAATTGTTCCATGCTATAATTGTATTTCAATCCTTGTATTTTGTGCCCTATAACTCCCAATATAAACTAAAATCGGAGACATATGGTATACGCCATAAATCAGGACATATTTTATATGAATTACCTTCTGTTAGCTACACTAATTATGTACACCATATTATTGCCAAGGGTGTAAAAAAAATATATATTTTTTTGCATTTAAAAAAAAAAAAAATTTATATAAGCATATGTCACAGCAACGTAAAGCCCATTTTGTCCTTTAAAAAAATGGTATATAATATGTGTAGCTGTAACGCATGAGGAAGATGGAACTTATGGTTAAACAAACACATAGCAAAAATTGCAAAATTGCTCCTGTCCCTAGAAGCGAAAACATTTTCTGAAGCTGTGTCACTAAGGGGTTAATATTCATTATGTCTGGGAAAATCATGTTATTAATAAGGCTTCAAGGTATACACCACATATTTACCACTTACCTGAGTATCCAAAAGAAATACTTGAGATGGGACTTAGGTAGATTCCTTTCCCGTATGCTGCTCCATGCAGCTGTAGAGGCAAAACATACCATTGTCAGAGGCTGCTAAAAGAGTAGCATGGTAGCACATGTCTTACTCATGAATTGGCTTTCTTCATAGTCTCCTTGTTTGAAGGGAAAAACTCACCATTTATCTACACCAGGAGTAGGAAAACTCCGGCCCACCAGCTGTGGTGAAACTACAATTCCCATCATGTATCTGTGTCTGGGAGTCATGCCTGTGGCTTTCAGAGTCTTGCAATGCCTAATTGGATCAGTAGTTGCACCGCAGCTGGAGGGATGGAGTTTGCCTTTCCCTGGTCTACACCACTGAAATGGGGGGAAAAAAAGTACAAAAGTATAAAAATAAGTACAAAAACAAAGTTTCTGTGAGGCCTTCTGATGACCCAAAATAAGCAAAGCTTAAGACTTTATTGAAAAACATTAAACATTAATAGCGGCTCCAGTCTATTTATGCAGTAATTGCCTGCATAAGAGAGAGAAACTTACCTGCAATTTAGTGTAGGATGCATTTACTAGCCCATTTCTCAGAATAGAGTGCCAGTTCTCAATATGAGAGCCGCTGGTGGAAAAGATAGAGCTCCAGTTATCTTTCTAACACATATAGTAAATTGAATTGACATTTTTTCTACCTTTTATTAGTGTGTCAATCCCTCCCTCCTTACCATGACCCTTTCCCTAACACACACAAACATTACGGCTCCTTATCTATAACAACTTTATAGAAAAAAATGACATTAGAAAACACTTTAAATAGAAAGTTATTCATGGTAAATTTGGCTTTTTGACTGGAATTTCACTTTTACTTTCATCTTCCAAACCAGGGGTAGGGAACCTTTTTCCTGCCAAGGGCCATTTGGATATTTATAACATCATTTGCGGGCCATACCAAATTATTAACCTAAAAATTAGCATGCTATATTTGGTCAAACAGTTAAAGAACTCACCCCTAATGTGATGGCTGGAAATGCGTCTCTTCGGTGAGGCGTATGATGTTAGCTGGTATTGATGATGTTACCCACTTGAGACCCCGCAGAGACCACCTTTAGACCACACCCATGTGAGACCCCCCAGAGCCCAACTAAGACTCTGCAGAGCCCACCACAGAGCCCACCATAGACCCCGCAGAGCCCACTGGAAAAAACTAGAGAGCCCACCTGAGACCCCGCAGAGTCCAACTGAGACCCTGCAGAACCCACATTAGACCCCCACAGAGCCCACCATAGACCCCCACAATGCCCAACTTGAGACCCCACACAGCTCCCGGGACCCCACACAGCCCACCTGAAAATGACCCTGCAATAACATGCAGACTCCCCTCCACAGACAAATTTCTCTATGTCAGCCAGCAGATACAGCCTGTCAGCGCAGGCCGAGAAGCTCTGGTGCTGCATGCGGCGGGGAGGGGAATAGGAGCGGAGGAGATATCCATTTAAGTTACTTGTGTTCTTCTTTCTCAACCACATTTACTAAACACTCTCATTATCTCATTGCACGACACATATCTAACTATTTCAACCCCCTTCCCATCCAACCCATCCACTCTTGTCCCAATGCATGACCCGATTTATCTCTCACTGAAAGGCGAATGTGCTTCCGTAGAGTTTCTTGGCAGTTCGGAATCGCGCCTCCTTGGCTGGGGGGCTACTGAGCAGCAAAAACTGATGAGAGGTGTGCATGAACTTCAGCTGCTATGACGGGATTAAGGTAGAGAAAATGGATATGACAGAAAAAAAGATAGGATGGACAGGTGTACAAAAAAGGTGTTTAAAGAAGCAACAAAATCAAGATTATCCGATATAAAAGAATGAGGGAAACAGTAAAAGGGTAAGGCAGACACAAATGGCACAGGGAAACACAAATGAAAACACAGATTGGAAATGGATGAAAAAAAGGAAAAAAGGAGAAATCAGAAAAACAAGTGTAATAAATTGATGGAATATGAAACAAAATAGAGGAAGTAAAAGAAAGGAGAGAGATAAGGAAGAGAGAAAAATCTATGCAGCATATGATGTAAAACACGCTGTATCATATTATAAATACTGAAATGCTTTCACAATATATGTACATCTTCTTGCTACAGTAAGCATTTTTGTTATGTAACCTTTTACCAAGGAGTCTTTACACACATACTGTACATACAGTATATTTATTAGTTCACTTTAACAAATATCCTGTTTGTATTAATATTTCCTTTCCAAATTTCATGTGTTGCCTTTTATAACTCTTTTCTTCAAAAATAGCTTTATTTCTTTCCAATACCAAATACTACAGCTTACCAATGGCCTTTTATGTGTCCACATTTGTCACATACCATAGAGATCTTCAGTGAGCTCTAGGGACCTGGATACTGACATATGTCAAGAAAATCAATAGTAAGACTAAAGTCTAAGCTGACTTAATCTGCTGATCATCGGTACGCATATTTGATTAAGTTGGCTCCCTTGCCAACTTAATCAAATATTATTTTAGCTTACATTTCCATTAAATGGGAAGGATAGAAAATCTGGTCATTCTATGAATGCATCTACTTGTGTATATAGTAAAACAGCAAAACGTTTTCTTGACACACTCACAAGCTAGCCTGTAAAAAAAACTTGTCTCACACTAAGGTTAAAAATAGAGGTTTGGATACATGTGTTTTATATGTGTATATAGTCACCTTGTTACATCTCCTATTTCCAGCTTTCCACTTGGCACAAAATTGGAGGTTTTGCAGCTTTGGCAGCATGAGTTTAACACGTACAGGCCACTTAATACCTCCTTTATATTATAAATTCACATGCAATATCTGGTATACTTATTTAAGTGCGATTAATATGAGGAGATACTTACCCTGCTTAGAGGCAGCTTTACAATATGGGATCTGTTACTGGAAATGATCCTGCAATTAGAAACATACATGTATGTGGCAATTTAGGTAGGAACATTAATTCAAAATTACTCATAGCTTACTGAACAGTGTTATGTGCTATTTACAGTATGTTTATGCCAATGGTCATAGCTATCGCTATTTGTCTATCTAATGGAATGCCTGCTTATATAGAAATATGTCTCTACCATTATAATGACTGGCTGTGGTATATGTAACATATATAAAAATATAGTATATACTGCAGTACCATTGCAACAATGGGTGTGCCAGTGGGTCAAGGCGGTCCATTTGTTTTTTGATTTCCAAGTATGACCCCTAGAAAACAGTATCTCTTTATTAGCAATGAATTGATTAAGCCTTCAGACTTGTCCACATATGCCCCCCCTTCCCCGTTTACCTGGGTCATCTCTCGGATGGACATGACACTGTCTAAGGCTTTCTGGAGACGCTCATAGTTCTTCTTCTGCAATGGAGAAACATAAGAGCAAGATAACTCAGTGTGTATACATTTTATATATATCACGTTTTTTTATATAACACAGTGTCAGTCCCACAGCAGTGAAAGCCTATATTTCAGTAAATATGTACCAGCTATCTCCTGCTACCTCTCTATGGGCATTTATTAGCATTGAAACTGAATACATTTTTCCATGCAAACTTTATAAGTGATTTAAACCTTTTTGTGTAAAATATATTTTGTAGAATAGTTTCATTCTACAGAAATTCCCCTGCACTTGATAGCGTTATGTGATCATGTCACAACAGCTGCATTGTTTGTGGGATCTATTTGCCCTTCTTAGTAAACCCCCAAACTCTCAGATGTATGAAGTGATATTTAGGGCAAGCAAAGTGTACCAGAGTTAGAGGACAAATTGATTACTCTTTGGTAAACTAAGGTCACCTTAACTCTCAAGGGTATATGAAGAATTTCTAGGTCACAGACTCTGATACAAGTAACTGTAATTATTACTGTGCTGACATTCTATGACTCGTTTTAGCTACTTGCCAAGTGCCATCGTACTGCTCTAGCAGAGTGAAAGGTCAACATTTCTGAGGTCTGCTTTGGAGGTAAGCTTCTGTGGCTGTGTGTGCCATGTGCTAAGTTTACATTTGAGGTCATTAAAGATAACATTTTACACTCACCTCAAAGAGGAACCAGCCTGTCTACCCCATGTTACATCATTTTCATTAACCTTTATGTAACATTGTCATAGATTGAGTTGTCATTCCTTTTATTGGCAAACTGTCCAGAATTACAGAACGGAACTCTACACCTAGACTGAACTGATTGTTACATTTTTTATTTTGATTTTGACATGACTGTGGGAACTTTTTATGGAGTAATTAACAAGAAGTGATGCCACTAAATTGTAGCATAAAGAAATGGTAAAAATATCCCAAATCATTTGAAGATAATGGATTTTACCAAGTTTAGGATGACAAAATCTTTCCTAGCATCCAGAATTATCTTTTCCACAGAAATGTTGGAAAATAAGTATTTTCAAACTAGCACTATCTATCTATATTTTGCCAAATGATATATGTTCATAATAGGATATGGGAAAAACTAGTGCTGAAACTGAGCCACACAATTTTACAAAAATGTAGATTTAGATTGTATACTTTTAGATTGTAAGCCCCCACGGGCAGGCCCATCTTACCATCTTGTCTTGAATTCTATTGTAATGTCTTACTTTTATTGTAAAGCTCTGCGCAAACTGTTGGCGCTATATAAATCCTGTGCAATAAAACTATCTTTCACCAGCAGCTACATATTACATCTGGAAACCATTCCACGGTACTACAGCAGAGTCTTCCAGCTGATTAATTTCTCAGTAGTGATTGGTCCCTGGAAGGGCTGCAGCACCAATCACATACCTTTTTTAAGGTATAATACATATATCTCAGTGATGTATATAAAGGCGAGCTGTTATGGTTATGTTAGGGTATGGAAAAATCTCTAGGTTACCTTAGGGTTAAAGGCCAGTGTTTTAGGGTCATTAGGGTCCACTACTGAAGGGTATGGCTCAAATATAATACTTTTCCGTGGTGACTCTAGGGCTGCTCGACACATGGCAACCAGCAGACCCACAACCTGCAAATGACACAAAATCACTGTTTAGCACAGGGTTGCACAATGGCATTTACACATGCTAAGGTGACATCTCAAGAGTTACTACCTCAGCTCCTGTAGCAACTTCTTCAGCAGCCCCAGACATCACTCCCAGAGTGTAAAATGAGAAAACACAGAGCTCTCTAGTACACACTGCCGGCTGCATGAGACAAGATGGCGGTCATGGAGAATGAATAAAACGAAGAAACAACCATTAATAATAAAACCGATACTGAGAATTTATATCATATTACAGCAACACTGTCAAAAACTTACCTTGAGCATGGATGCATTCTGGAAGACATGCTGCTCATCACATACTACGCAATACTCATTTAAAGTGGGGAGACGCTGTTCTGCATACTTCATTATCTGAACATAAAAACACATTATTATGGTGCATAAAACAAAACAGAAAAAGGAAACAATTGAGAAGCAGAGGTATGTGGGGATGAAAACCCCAAACATTCAGGGAAAATAACAAATGTAAAATGTGTTTAGAAACCTCGGAATTGCTGGTAAATGTAAAATAGATGGACTAAAAAACATGCAGACAACTCACCTGGACCAAAAAGCCATATTCTAGAGTGGGAACTGTCTTACAGTGTCCACTGACCTGCACAGAGGAAGAATATGTACAGGCTTTACTGTATATGAAACGATGTATGTTTCCACAATTAAGGAACAGGAGGACAAAACAGTAACAGGGTTATTCAAAAAAGGGTGAAGAGTTTGGAGAATGGAGGAGAAGTGAACAATCTAGGACAACATAGCTGAACTGGAAAGTGAGCTGAATTGAAGACTTTTTCTAAATCAGCTATGTTGTCCTAAATTGTTCACTTCTCCTGCCTTCTCCAAGCGCTTCACCTTTTAGTGAATAACCCTGTCAGTAATAAATGAACCTGTTACTAAACATACCAGAGGCATCCAGACACCTGCACATACAGGAGCTTTATAATGTGCTGGAAACTAGTGACAACAATTATCCTTTACTAGTACAGTGCTTATTGCTTATAAAAGATACATGGCATTCTCATTCTCCACATATTACCTTCATCCACACCAGGGCTGTAGCTACCATGGGGCGAGTAAGGCACTCGCCTCAGGCGCAGCTGAGTGGAGGCAAAGCCAGGGCTGGCCTGGGTGCGCCCCCTCGCCCCTGTTGCCACGGTAAGCACAGGGTTCCATTGGCAAACGGGGAGCCAGGCGGCCAACACAGCCCTGGCTCAGGAGGGAGAAGAGAAGCGGCACAGGCTCCAGCTTCTCCTCGGGTCCCCCGCTGCTCTCCCCTACCTGCATGGGCAGAGGACTCTGTGTCCTCAATCTCTTTGTCTATTTCAAAAGGGAGATGTCAGGGGTCTGTTTAGAGCCCCCCAACAGTAACCCCCCTTGCCTCGGGCGCAAAGGGAGCCAGCTACGGCTCTGATCCACACAGATACATTCCACCATTGTATGAAGGGTACAAGTTCATTTTGAAGCCAAATTAAACTTAACTGTTAGAACCAGAGCTCTTCAATTAGCTGGGATTGTGAGCTTTGCTGATTGCAGATCATAGGTTATAGGTCTGACTCAGCAGAGGGTGTGTGGGACCTCTGCAGAGAGGCCAGTGCATCCGCACAAAGAACAAGGGTCCTTCGCTGCAGCATCGTAGTAAGGGACATGCTTTTCTACTAAGGGTGTGGTTGTTCTCTAAAGCAGCCTTTTTCAACTTTTTCATGGCACCTTTTAAAATTGTGCAGAATTTCAAGGCACCCCGGTATAAAATATAATTGTAAAAATATAGAGAATTACATATGGCTCCTCCAAAATCCATACCAGACCCTTATCTGAGATAGGGGTCTGATATGGATTTTAGGGGGGACCCCATGCAAAAAAATCAAAAGTAAATGCAAGTTCTTCCCTTCATATCAGAGCCCCTCCTTCACATTAAGAGCCCCCTTCACCTCAGTGCCCCCTTTTCACATCAGAGTTCCCTTTTACATCAGTAGTCCCCTCCTTTCACATCAGAGTCTCTTCTCTCACACTAGGAGCCAACTTTCACATCAGAGTCCTACCAACACATTAGGAGCCACAGCTGGGGCAGCATGGCAGAGAATGGGAGGCAGAGCAGGCCTGAATAGATGCGAACTTCCGTCCTTTTCAGAACGGATCCCACCCTCCCTAGATTGGCATCCTGTTTCCATTGTGCTAGCAGCAGGCCTGCTTGCACCATGAAAAGGCATGACACTGCCAACATTTTGAGGCACCCCTGAGGAAGCCAGAAGTCAACCCAGCATGCCACAGTATCCTGGTTGAAAAAAAGGCTGCTCTAAAGAAAGTAAAATGTTGCGCACCTTTTGTTTTCATGCACCTGGAATGCATTCACCTGATTTAAACTGATAGTTCAGTTGCGCTTGAAGTTTCTACAGCAAACTCAGAAATATACAAGAGTGAGGGCTGGGCTTATTTAATATATAGAAATGTATTACATCCACCACTTGACCTTTGTGTGATGCCCCCTTCTCAATGAACATTGTACTGTGCTGAGCAGGTGCCCATGTCTGTTTCTTTAGCTTGTTAATTGGTCTTGCTATTTGAAGCAACTCTTTTTCTTAGTACTTTGACACATACATTAGCTTTAGAATTATCTTCTGTCTCTAAAGTTAATATGACGATGCCAATTGCTTGCCACTCTGAGACTATTACTGATCTCTTCCAATTGCTGTATTTTTTACTTTTTAACTTGCTCTCACTTTACTCTGTAGTTACTCTTGACAGCTGCTGCTTCCATATATCAGCCTACTTCAGACTTTTTCAAATCTTATGTGTTCCCATCTTTAATGTTTGTCTTTCTTTAATCAATATATGAGCATTGTGTTTGCTGAATTTTGACTATACATCAAATGTCTAATTCTGTTTGTCTGTTCTTTCGCTTAATTGCATCTTATCTGTGCTATATATCACGCAGTTATATCATTTTACAGGGCTGTCTTGAATAAATAATTATAGGCTACTTTATAAGAGTTACTTCACTCTTTGTTCATTGCTTGGTTAAACACTGATGTGCTGTCTACACATTTTACAGGAGTTGTTCTATATTTTAATGATGGTATTACACATAGTTTTGTAGATTCACCCTTTAGTGGTTCCCTGTATGCCTAAGTAGTTCAATTAGGACCTTTTCTGACCAAAAGCTAGATTTAAAGAATAAAGCTAGGCATGCATGGTTTGGATTTCACCCAAAACCTGCAAAATCAGACAAACTTTGAGCCATGGGTGGCCCTATCAGAACCACCTAACTACCGTGTTTCCTCGAAAATAAGACACTGTCTTATATTTTTTTTGGCTCAAAAAAACACACTATGTCTTATTTTCGGGGTAGATCTTATTTTCGGGGGAAACAGGGTATAAAAGCCAATTTTAAAATCAAAGGAGCTGAGTGGAATATTTCCAGCTGAACAGTGACTACATCCTATCAGATGCTAGAGGCTCCCTAATTGCAATAGTTCAGTAGATGTAGGAATTGAAGAGCCAATTAAAATGGTCCAGATACAACTATATTCCATTAAGGTCAGGGGACATTCAAGTAGAGTATTCAACGTGTTTTGGGGGGTCAATCAGAGAAATCATGTACAGTATGTGGACTACAATCCCTCTAGCCTGAAAGTTGTATTCAGTTGTGATTGGGTACTTCAGGCTTGTTAGCAGCTGTTTTGGCAGCTGAATACAATAGCCAGCAGCGCCGATTCTTTCATGATTAGCGTAGATGGGGGAATCAAGTGAATCTACATGTGTATGGCTAATTTAAAGTGACACTAAATTCAGGAGTTAAATCTTAAAAATGCATTCAAAGGGGGCATGGGGTTTCTGGACCCCGTGCTTTACCACACTGCAGGCAACTTAGCTAGGATCGTCGATTGGTGTTGCCATCAGAAAATAAAGCTCAGGTTAATCTTGAACGATCTCTTTGTGCTTTTGATAGAATGTCTGCCTTGGGCGGGCAATGTTGACCATTCCATTGTTTAGAAATGTCCCTTGATTATTTCAACCCTACAGGCATTAGGCGGGGTGGCTCGCAGATGGTACATGGCTCGTTTTCCCTCCACTATGAAACCCATCATCGGACAGCCGTTATTCCTTTCCAGTCATGGAGACAAAATTTTCTCAGCCTGGATACGAGATAAGAAGTTTAAGGCACACCATTTTCTTTCGGTGGGAGGCTGGCAAACTCCGTCCCTGAACACATCAGGAGATAACCCCCAGGCCTAGACTTCCTGGGACACACTCAACTCTGACACTTCCTGTGGTCTTTACCTGACCATACATCCTTTCAACGTCCACTCACACCATTTGAACCATGGTGCTCTCGGGAAGTTCCACAGAAAATATCTCTTTTGTTGTCCTATCAGTTCATATTAGCCTCAAAAGAATTGCCCCCTTCTTCCTATATCCAGAAATGGGAACGAGACCTGGGGGTTGAGTTCTCCCCCCAACAAAGTGGTCATATTATTTACTTTTCACATTGTGCATCCATTTCTAATAAGTACCAAGAATCAAACTACAAAATGATGACTGGGTAGTATAGAACACCCTCCATCTTAGCTAGATTGTTCCCAGGAGTAGATGATAGATGGTGGCGCTGTGCTGAATCTCTAGGCACATTACTTCATATTTTCTGGGAGTGCCCTCGGCGCAGACATTTTTTAAATGAAGTTACCCGCGCAATTGGTGAGGTCACGAGCCTACAGCTTGGAGATGACCTTGTGGCATATTCATTGCACCTTTCACCTATTTACCCGCTTTAGGAAATCGCTGACCGTGCACCTTCTGAACGCAGCTAAAACCTGTGTCACTGGGCTTTGGAGGCAGACCTCACCCCCCCATCTTTCTCACTGGTTTTCACGAGTAAACTACATCACGTACATGGAAGATTTGACGACTTTACTTAACAGCAGGACAGCGGCCTTCAACAAGACATGGTTCTACTGGATAGAATTTAAGCTTTCTACAGCATACCCGGAAAACCCTCCTTGCTTATAATGGAAGGCCTGATGATGGCACCGTCTTACATTTGGAGTTATCCCAACCTCATGTTGGTCGCCTCTTTACCTCTTGGTTACCTTTCCCCCTGGGATTGCCCATTTTCTTCTCTCCCTTTCTTCCACTTTCACTTCTAATCACTATTCTGAAACCAGCCTTTCTTCTTTTATGCTGCTCCTCTCCTCTGCCTATTCCCCCTCTTGCTGACCCCTCTAGTTATTATAGAAACATCCTGCTAGAGACAGGGACACATTCTAGAGCACTGTGATACTTCTGTATCTTACACTTTCATTGAGGATGTCTTCTCAATTGGTGTGCGCTATGTTCTTTGTCTAGAATGTTGTGCTTGATTTCTTGTTTTACATGATAAGCTGTTATACCCATCATGGTTGTTATTTGTGGATCTAAATAAAGAATTTAAAAAAAAATACATTCAAGTACCTTAACTATTAACAAAAATGTACCTTATTTGTGTATCACTCGGCTGTAGATCCTCCAATCATCTCTGAATTGGTGCTGACACTGTCCTTCCTTCTGGAGGGTGGCTACTTTTGTTGTTTCCCATGGTCCCTGAGCCTTTAAACTGTGATGACTACAATCTCATGTTTGTATTGAGATTGTAGTCCATCACAGGAGCGAGCTTGTAGTGGTGGCTACTTTACAACACACAGACGGACCATAGAGAACAAAAGGAGTCATCCTTCAGAAGGAAGCACAGTGTCAGCATGAATTCACAGAGCATTTTAAAGGATCGACAGCTGAGTGGCACACAAACAAGGTACATTTTTTATAACACTTAGGGTACTTGAATGCTTTTTTACGATATAATGTCTGAGTTTAGTGTCACTTTAAGTTACATTCATCTGTACTGAGGAAGGAACAGTGAAGCTCAGTCACTCTACAGCAGTACTAAGCAGCCAGCACAGTCTTCATGTGCAATGAGTAAGTATGGCTTTTTCCACATGTAGAAACAGGTTATTTAACACGCTGACAAGTTTGCACCAAGTGCATATTTACATACACGTCTAGAAAAGTAAAAATAATATAATGTCCCGTCAAGCTACTTATTTGTTTGTTCTTCCCACCTGCACGTAGAAGGATGTGTAATTGAGTCTTACCTGTGTTGTGGTATGACTGCCATATAGCTCAGACTTAGGGTTCCTTAGAGTGCAGGACACTGATCTATTCATGAGACGGGCACCACGGAGGTCTGTTCCTGCAAGACCACTTCTGAGATCTGCCCCTGTGAGGCTACTCCGCACAGCAGAGTCCTGAACTCCTGGAAAACTGGGAGACCTGCAATACAGTGAATCAGGGGTGAGGTGTTCCTTAAAACACAATTATTATTAAATAAATCTGATATAAATGCTGAACTACAGAACATCTTAGAACATCTGATATTTATAACGCACCTACACAGGCCAATTCTGTTCAGTGACATTTCTTAAAGAAGAACTCTGAGCAGAATAAAACGTAACCCTTGCAGTGGGGCTACCCCTGCACTGCAAAGGTTAACTGCTCATTTTGGTCTAGGGAATAGAAAAAAGAAGAATAGTAGAAGGACTATAATGCTTGGTCCGGTGGCACTCAGCACTCATCTGTCTCCTCCTCTGCTCTTGTGGTACGTCCCTCAGCGTTCTCACGTCTAATGACGGTGAATGGACCTGCATTAGACCTGATGACGTCAGCGGGGCTTAGACCGCCAGAGCCTGGAAAAGAAGAGGCTGTGGGGGCCGGTCTAGCAGCTAGACAGAATCAAGAATCAGGTATAAGTAAATTTTCTGTATTTGTGCCCCTGGACCAAAATGAGCAGTTAATCCTTGCATTGTGGGGATAGCCCCACTGCAAGGGTTAACTTATGAAAATCCTGGAGTTCCTCTTTAAAGTATATAGCTAGCCACATGTTTACATGATGAAGGGACCCTATGCGGCCCCCGAAACTGTGTTTCCTTTGTGATACAATAGGCTTGCGTCAATTAAAGATGAGGTTATATCACAGTTGAAATGCCGGTGACTCTTTCCTCTATAGCTTGTAAGTGTAGCACCATCCAGTTGTCTCTGCTGTACCCACAAAAAGTTTGGTATCTACTGCTCAGGTGTGCAATGGGACATGTACAATGTACACAGCAAGGCAAACTACTCCTGTAATTCTTTCCTCCCTGTTTCCTTCTCCCTTTTCCAAGCTAGTAGATGGACTGTTGTTGGAGTTTCTGCTGCCCTTGTGAACTTGTACTGGACAGGAAGTTCAGGAAAGCCAAGCTGAGAGAGTGGGAGCTAGCTGTTTGGAAACATAACTGTAAGTGTTTGGGCAAAAATGTTAGGAAATACTTTGCCGGGCAATGTATATTAGTTTGATCTGGATTTATTATTAAAGAAATGGTGGAGAGTTTACTACTACTTTAAGCTGGTGTTCATCTAAATTTGAATTCCAGGCAAACAGGTGCAATACAAACTGTAACAAGAATAAATTTTACCTGCGAAAGGCTACTTATGTTTAGACATTGCTGGCATTTGCACAGCCCTGTGAGGCAGCACAACCAGGCTGGTGACATCACTTTTCTCTACAGTTTGTACTTTATAGGTGATTAACCGCTTGAAGACCAGGTGTTTAGACCCCCTTCCTGGCCAGGCCATTTTTCAGTATTCAGTGCTACGGTACTTTGACTGACGTTTATTCCGTCATGCAACGCTGTACTGAAAGGAATTTTATACCATTTTTTGGGGACACATAGAGCTTTCTTTTGGTGGAATTTAATCACCACTGCGGTTTTTATTTTTTACTATAATTAGGAAAAATTACTGAAAATTTTGAAAATAAAAGTTTTTTTTTAAACATTATGTTAGAAAACATTTATTATTACACAGTTTTTTGGTAAAATATAAAAGTCGGGGTCACGTCGGGTAAATAGACACCAAACATGTCAAGCTTTAAAATTGTGCGCACCCGCGAAATCGCAGAAAACTACCATACCCTAAATTGGCCATAGGTGACACTTTAAAAGCTTTTACCGCTCATCAGTTTAGTGTTATCAGTGATTGAGTGCCCTAGAATTATTGCTCTCACTGTGACGTTCGCGGCGATATGTAACATGTGCGGCCTAATGGGCGCAACCGTCTTTTTTGTACAACATGTTTGCATGGGTGGGGACTTTAAAACTTTTTTTGTTTTTTTGTTCTTTTTTATGTGTAACTTTAAAAAAAATTGGGGGGGGGGGCTTTAATTTTTTTTCCTTTTTTTTTTTCCACTAAATT